CAGCATGCTTTCCTTTCTCAGTTGGTGGTAGAGCTATGTAGACGCATGCAAAGAAGTTTCCCGGCTATGGGGAAAGAGTGTGCACTGCGAGATGTGTTTTCATTAACCCCTTCAAGTTCATGCGGCCAATGAGGTTTGCAATTTGTGTTTTATATGTTAGTAGAAAAATTAGATGTTTGTTTGTGACAGAACTGTCAAGTTTATGTTGGTCATTGTAAAGGTCAAATTGTGAATGTTTTTTATGTTGTTGAATAATATGCTTTATTGTTTATTCTCTATGATAACAACTTATTGTGAAAACTGATCACTCTATGTTGTTTGCACAGTTCAAAGGGTGTGGTTGGTGCCACTTGTGTCCATTAAATGCAGTAAAAGTCAAGAATGCTTTGAGTCCGTTTTTCAACTTTGAGGAAGCTACACCCCTACATGAGCTGACTTTATAATTTGAAAGTATTGGTACTGGTGTTGGCAATACTGTAGTTAATCAGTATTGAGTCGATACCAAAAGTTCGAGGATCACACAGCGTTGCTCAGAACTTTTCATCGTCACCATCATGAAGAGTTGAGAGTTAATGATCGTTATTCAGGCTACAGACGATCCGCAGTCACATCTTGAACTTAGCTGATTTGTTCGTGAACCCGTGTTAAGTGTTCACATAGTAGACCCACACAGGGTCTCAGATGGATACGTTGATGCAATGCATCATGGGAGTTGTGGTTAATTCCTCCACCAAAACAGTCTTAAAGTAAAAAAAAATAATAAAAAAAATAGAAGTAAAAAAGTAACTTTTACTTTAAGAATCAGTGACTTACAAATAACATCCCTTCAAATTTGCTTGTGTCTAGACACGTAGGTGTGGGTAAATCCAGAGCCTGTCTGCACACTCACAACGTTACACCGATAAAAAGAAATGCTGAGATCTGACTTCATATCAGGATCTGTTAAAGTTTTTTTTAGCTAACCATAGCACAGTGAAACACATCGCATATTCAGATGATTTAAATCATTTCACAGAAGGGCCAACACATCAGCGGAGACGTTCAGAGGGGCTTTCAGCTGATTCAAAATGAATCCAAAGACAGTGAGATTAAAGATTAAATCATAGTAAAATAAATAAATAAATAAATAAATTATAATCAACACAGTATTTTCAGAGGGGTCAGAGCGCTGAGAGAACAATCATGGCAGACAAACAGATGACCAAAGCAAATACAGCAGTATTTTGTCTTTCAGTATCATAAGAGGCACAGCAGTATTTTAGTTTTATATTTTTATTTTGTTCGCTTTGTCTTCTCCTGCAGCATGAGTTAGCATCAATGTTCTGAGTCATCAAAGTCATGAAGCTTGTGACAAACACCTGTTTTATCTGCCAGCTGAATCTAAATGTAATCACGGGGTTAACCGCGGGGATTTATGGGAGTTTTTGAAGACTTTGGAAACTTTATTTTTTCCCTTCATCAAGTTACAGTTAAATATTATTGTTTGTTATAGATCATGTTTTTTTCTAACATTTCCGTGGTCCGAGCTTTTCTATAGCAATGAGTAATTATTGTTAACAACAAAGAACAACTGATCTGGTGATCATGTTGTTTGATAACGAACGTTAACGGGTCAAGGCTCCAGGTGTTTCCAGATGTTTCTGGATGTTTCACGTTTGGAGTTCCTGATTTAGAAATTCTGGCATTAAATTGCTAGAGTCAAAAACATGTTTATCTGCGATCATGAGCGCATGAGTTTACTGATAGACACGATGAATTGTAAGATTTATTTATTTATTCATTCATATATAAACGAATATCACCAGTTAGCCTGACCACCTGTTAAATCGCGCAAACACTGTGAAATATGTTCAGTCAGCTGTTGCTGTATTCAACCAATCACAGACGAGTGATGCGGGGCGGGAATTTAAAGCCAGTCTCGCTTTGACCGAGCAGGAGGCAGAAACACAGACCTGACTGACTCAGTCCGTGCTCTCTCTGCGATGTCTGTGTGCAGCCCGCTCTCTGCCTCGCTGTGGACTTTTATCCTGTGCTCGGCTTTCAGCGTGTGGACTCCGGTTCGAGGTAAACGTTACTGTCAGCTCACAGCTGTGGTTTCTTCTCTGTGTCGCTGTGAGCGATGACAGTTACCGGTGACTTACTGACAAAAAAAAAGGAGTTTAAACGAGATGATTCAGGTTCGCCCCTGTGATTTGCGGCTTCCCCCCGTTAATATAGCAGGTTGACTGTGTGAGTGTGAACTTGTCAGACTGCTGCTTCTGTTAATGCAGCAGAATTAAAAAACAAAAACAAAATTATGTTTAAAAAATATAATAGAGCGTTTTTGTTTCTGACTAACAAAGAGGATGAAGTCTGTATTGTACTGAGCTGGTGTTCTATCATCACTGAGTGGAAACGACTTCATTTAGAGGGTGTATGAGGAGGATGTGAAGGGTGGAGTAAAAACAGTTAGATGATTAGAGTTGGGTTTAAAGGTTTGGGTGGAGCACTGAAGGTTTTATTAACACTCAGTTATTGTTTTTTTTTTAATCACTGCTCTGTTACAGGTTATCTGAGGCAGAGTCACTGAGCCTAGCATGAAGTAGAACAACACAGCTTTAGTGTACTAAAGTAAGAGAGCTCTGACTGTAAGTGAAACATGCTCTACAGTCTGGTTCAAGCTGATTTGATAATAAATCAAACGAGGAGCTTTGACTTTAATAACTCAACTTATAAGACTAACCAAACTAATCAGATACTCTGGTCATGATTCAGCAGCTAGCAATGCCATGTGTGAGTGACTCACAGGAACTTCTGCTCTCTAATCTCATCCATCCATACAGTTTTAACTGATGTGTCTGCAGGAAAGGCGTCCGGTGTCAAAATCTGAGTCAGACCAAATATGTGGATCCATCTTGGACATAAGCAGCTGAGTCTAGTTTCTAGACTTCATGTGTCTGCAGATCACAGGCAATTATTGCTGAGCAGCACGTGAATGTAGGGTTCGTTATATAGTTACAGAAACACATCCTCCACATTATGAGTCATTGTGAAAAACTGACAGAAGGCAGATCTGCTGTTTTGTTGGTTTGCTGTTAGACCACGTCCTGCTGATCCAGTTATCAACATGCTGCAGCTTCATCTCATGATCTTCTTAAACTCTGGGTAGTTCAAAGACTGTCACTGTGACACGAAGCAATGAAAAGAAGTCATGATGACTCGATCAGAAATCTGAATCTGATTAATTAGCACAAAATACTCCATGTCGTTGCTTTCAGTGCCTTTTGCTTTTCTTTGTCTCATCTGATAATCAGCTGAACGTCTCTGAGTTGTGAACATTAGTAAACTGAGCCTCGTCTGCATTTCCTTTAAACAGATTATCAGGTTTGTGTGTGTGTGTGTGTGTGTGCGCCTCAAAAATCTGACTTGTACCTAAAATGTTCAGTGTGACTAGAAATGTTTTATAGAAACACATTTCTAGTCATGAGGGTCTGTGGGAGTTCAAAGAGTTTAACTTTTTAAT